AAACTGGAAAAGAATTAGCCAGGATCTTGGTGTATAATCTAGGTCATCTTCAACTTTGTAGCAATCCTCCTGACACAATGGTCTCTGGTCATTGTCTTGAGAATATTTTCTTCCACAATGGTCTCTGTGATGGTTGGCTTCATTTGTCAATTGGACACAATTTAGAATCTCTAGGGAAGAGAGTCTCAATGAGTTGTTCACAATGTGTTGGCCTGTGAACATGTTTCTGGGGCATTGTCTTATTAGTTGATGTGGGAAGACCCAGCCCATTGTGGGTGGAACCATTCCCTAGGCAGGAGGTCCTGAACCATATTAGAGTAGAGAAATTTAGCTGAGCCCAAGCAAGTGAGCAGGTGTGTGTTTATTTCTCTCTGCCCTTGACTGTAGCTCTACTGTGACTGGCTGCTTTGACTATTCCACAATAATAGCCAGTCAATGGAAATCATGAGCTAAAATAAACTCTCACCTAAGTTGCTTTTTGTCAGGACATCTAATCAAAGCAACGGAAATGAAATGGGAACAGTCCGTTGGTCGTTGTTTATTCTCACTCTGGAGACTTCCAAGGTTATGACTCCACTATCTGCCCACTACACTCTATGATTTGGATGATTTCATTTAACAGAGATCACATGGTCCAGTGAACCGGGAAGATGTTGGCATGAGATCTAGGTAACACTGAGGAATGCATGTGTCTCAGAAAGCCGGTACCATATCTTAAAGGCCCTCTGAAAGCTTTAAACAAATAAGTGATGTGGGATGGATCATTGGTTCGGTGAGAAGCCCTTTCACCGCTCTAGTGGTGATGCGACCTGGGGGAATGGGGCTGATAAATGAGACAGATTAAAGTCTTATGCAATAGCCAACTTTTTCAGAGCATCAACTTATACTCTGAGAGTTAAGAAGAATAACATGAGTAAAGCATACAATCACAAGGACAAACCGCACGTGGCAAAAACATTGTTTTCCATAGAGGCATAAACATTTAATTGAATAACACCATCAAGCAATAATTAGTAATCTGAAGTAAACTCACTCTTATCCAATACATCTGGGAGGAGCATGAAAAAACATTCCAAGAACAATTCTGTGTTTTGAAGAAACTAAGGTTACAAGACTCTTGTTTTCTTAGAGTTCTCTCACACACGCTCAGAATTCTCCTCACATGGTTCCATTTCTGGACCATGTTCTGACAAATCCCTATCTGATATATATATATATATATATATATATACAGACAGAGACAGAGACAAAAGGACACACAGAGAGACACAGAGAATGACTAAGAAAGACCCCTGAAATCAACCTCTGGCTTCCACATACATGTGCATACATGTGCATGTATATCCCTCAGCGCGCGCGCGCACACACACACACATATATATATATATATATATATACACACACACAGGATTATGTACATAGTATACACACAGCAACACACAAAAATGCATTGCAAGATGTGATATTTTCAACTTATGATAGGTGGTCCATCCACAATGGGGTAGCATCACATCTCCATTTCAGTCTATCACAAAGTCAGGTTGCAGGGTCAGAGTTGAGATGTAGACTTGTGTTCAGCTATTGAGGAGAAAGGGCTGGACTGGGTCCACGTGAACTAACAGGTGGGTGGTGAACACCATGTGGACAGAAGAAAATTCCAGTAGGCCACATCATTCGTGGGAACTAAACCAAGATGACCTGGAACTGTTGGGAGCTCTAAGCGGGGCCATTACAGTGGTGATGCTGGATGTCTTCTTCTTGATGGAACCAGGATGAAAGTGTTGGACCTTTTCTTCAGCCTGATGTGTCTCGTAAGTCCTCAGACCTACTTTTTTTTTTTCCTGATATGATTTTAATATGCGGTGTGTTCCTACCATCTAAATTCACCCTGGTAAATTGATGGGTGGCACCCTCTCTACTTCCAGAAATCAGTCTGCATTGCACTGTGTGCCAGGAAGATGGTGCTTTTCATGTGTCCATCTAGTTGTGGCACCATCCTCTATCCTCAAAACAAACCCAATGCTTCTCTTGGGGGCAAGAGTCTTTCAGGACAAATAACAGTTTAACAAAACCCCACCATTTTATACATTATGAAATAATTTAGGGCAGTGCACAGCCTGCTCTCAATACACCTCCAACTCCATTTGTCCACATTGTAAGACAGACAGACAGACAGACAGATAGATAGATGTTACTCTCCTAAAAGTCAAAAGATAGTACCTTATATATTTAGCAATGAGAATTGGGACTGTGTAAGTAGTGCCCTGTACACTTAGCAAGAAGAAATGGGGCTGTGTATGCGCTTGGACATATGAAAACCATATCAGGAAACCAGGCCCAAGAACCTGTTGAACACAGCACACTAAGGAAAGGGTACAACACTTTCCCCTGGACCTCACAAGAGGAGGATCTCTAACACTGTGATGCTGATGGCCCCAGTGACCTGTCATCTGACCACAGGGTGTATGCATCAAAAGACCAACAGGCAGAGAACTTCCCACTGTCCCGGGGACTTGAGCTCGGCTGAATGCCTGCCGTTGATCTGTTGACCCAGGCTACTGGGATTGCCACTTGTCTGTCACCCCATATGTTCATCTGGATCTAGACCTGTTCACTGCCTCTTCAGCGCGCGCGTGCGCGCGCGCGCACACACACACACACACACACACACACACACACACACATTTTACTTCTGCTTGCTGTGATCAATTCTTGAGTCTGGGTTCAACTCTTACCAGTTGCCTCAGTATCTCCAGAAGATGGGAGAGCTAGTTACCTGGGGAGAGCTAGTTAGCTAGGGAGAGCTAGTTACCTGACAGCAGCAGAGCCTTCTTCCTCATCCTATCAGCTCCCAGTTCTGCCTCCAGTCCTCTTGGAAGATCCTTGACTCTGCAGTGGCTTTTTTTTAACACTTTGTGGCCATTGTGTGTGTGTGTGTGTGTGTGTGTGTGTGTGTTTACTGTGTGGTACATGAGGTGTGGTCCAAGAATTAACACTAATAGTTAAGACAAGAAAAAAGAAGCTGTGTTTGCCTCAGCAGGCTGTCAAGGAAATAGAGATTATTTGGCAAATTGAAGCCAACGAAACTGCCTTATCTAATTTATTGTTAGTCAATAAATTCTGATACCATGGAAGGGCACAGACATGTTCGCCTGTTTCTGACATAGCATACTTATGACATAGATTCATTTTCATTGATCAGTTTGTGCCTTGATTTCTTTTAGGATGTGGCGAGTGTTTGAGTCTAAACTAACCCTGGGACATTACTACCCAAACCTCTGGTTCCACTAGGGCTGTCCACACTGAGAAAACTTGAAAGACAGGGACCAGGACAAAGGTTGTAGCCCTCTAGGCACTGCAGTATCATGCTAGAAAAAGAAAATAAGATGACACCAGGCTAGACCACAGAAGTGTGATGGCCATACATGGACGCCATGGGTGTACTGAATAGGTGTGGAAGCCGTGATGGCCATGCATGGATGCCATGGGTGTACTGAACAGTTATGGAAGCCAAGCCAGCTTTCTGGTCCTTTCTACTCATGTCTCATTTGCCATGGAACCTTGAACACATTACTTGGTCTTAGAGTTACTTATGGTCTCTTCTGTACATCTTTAAAATGCTATAATTCCATTGAAAACATATCATGTGTGAGTTTCAGACTTAAGCTAGACCTACATTAGAAATATAAAAATCTTACTCAATAATTTCAACTGACCTGTAAAATCAGACGCATCTTTGAGTCCTTCTCACCTGGAGTACTGGATGTAGACATTGATAACATGAAATTACCTAAGTGTGAGTGGAAAACATGCATAATGCTTGACTGACATTAAAAAAAAAAAAAAAAAAAAACCATCCCCAATGACAAGTGCCTGGTTACAAATCCAATTGACCTACCAATGAAAAGGGCAACATTGAAACCTTCGACTGTGTCCCATTTCAATCAGAACACAGAGTTAGGACTTTCAAACTTGCATTTTTCCACCAGTGTGTGCATGAAAGGTGAAGGTGTCATCCTTGGCAAATGGGTGAAGTATTTGTATTAAGAATTGATAGTTGTGCTCTGGTTTTCAGTTTGAATTGTCACAGCAGACAAAATTGTGTGTAGAGGATCCATGAAAGATTTCTAAGTGCCCTGTAAAATGATTTGAAACTGTCCTGGTTTAATTTAAGGCCTGCAGCTGTTCCTGTAGAGAAGCATCAAGTTTCAGAGTTACAAAGACACAATGCAAATAAACAGAGAGGGAGCGTCTGTCTCCCAAGGGGAAAGTAAGATTAACCCTGTGCGTCCTTGTGGCCCTGCTCCTTCTACACAAGGTTTGCTGCTAAGACATAAATTTCAAAGCATGTCATTTAGTCTGTCTTAATTCATGTTGCCAGGCAGCATACAAATAACTCAAAATAAAAGATTAAGATGATTCAAAAGGTTGATATATTTATGCCTGATAAAAATTAAATGATCTAAATATTTTTTTAAATAAAGACATTTAGCATCAGATGGTTACATTCACATAATTTGTTAAACGGATGTATTACCTTTCTTGAAAAGAACTGTCATCATTTTAATGTGTAAAGCTGATTTACCTTCTGTTTCTTACAGTAACCGTGATGTAAATGTCTTTCTCAAATAATAAAGTTTTTTCACTTACAGTGGGACTTAAGGAAAGTGTTTTTCAAAGACAGACTGTTTGTTATTGGATAGTTTCCTCCTCTCTGGGTAAGAAATGGAACCCTTAAAGCAGGGAAGCCCAAAGTCTGAGCTGTGAGCTACAGCGATGTGACTGTGGTGAGGCTTGACATCAGAGTTCACCAAAGAGGCCTGCTTACTCTTTCTCCTTCAAGAGAATGGTTCTTTTCCGAAAGTGGAGCAGGGTTTACATGTCAGGGTGCTGGCTTTGCAGAAATGGTTGGGATTCTGTGTGGCCCTGGCTTGGGTTTGGCACACCCGAGAGTACCGGCTGGAAGTGGTTCCCAGTTTTAGGAGAGTCTGAGCCATTGAAGTCACCGGGTAAAATTAGATTTGCCTGTTGCTGCAGGAGGGGCAGAAATCTGAGCTGAGGGAGCCTTTTCTCGGGGCAGAGCCAGTGAAGTCAGTGTCTGCCTCGTCCTACACAAATGGGAGTTTAAATCTTTCCACCCCCACAGAGCTCGGCCTCGCATCTGGAATCAGTTCATCAGTGTGGTTTCTGAGTCGCTAAGGTAAGCAAACAGCTTGGATTTTATGATTAATGTGTAGTTTATAAATCAAATAGGTACAAGGTTCCTTACCCCCCCCCCAGTAGCATAATGGTCAATAATCTGAAATAATGCTGAATGAATTCTCTCAATTGTATTTTAATTATTAACACAGTCCAGTTCCCCCTCACTTCACCTGAGTTAGCCGTCCCAGTAGTTTCTGTGCTCTGCAGTCAGCCTGGCTGTGTGGCTGACATTATACACTTGTCATAACGATGTGGCTGTGTCACGGGATGTGGACTCTGACAGTTAAACAGAGAAGGCATACTCTTTAAAATCATCTTCAACTCCACCCAGGCCTTTCTGGTAGACTGAGTCTGACGATGCAGACTTTCTGGGTGGTTTTCTTAGAGACACTAATAGGTGAAAATGGGACAAAGGTCAAGGTGCTTTGAGAATGAATAACACTAGAGCGAACTGTCAAGCCAGCTCCTGAACTGTTCCCAGACTGTTTCCCTCACTAGATTTGGAAAAAATGAAAGTGTTATACACAAACAAAAGCCATCCTGCGGGGTAACTGTAAAGAGGAACGTGCTTTTGATTGCTCAAATTAGGGTTGTTTCTTGTGTTACTAAGTTACTGCATGGTGATTGGAAAATGTGAGTTACTTTTAAAGGAATGAAGGAAACCAGGGAAGAACAACTGGGCTGGTTGAAAGATTAGCTCCAGGACAGGGAGTCTGGGTTCACAGGAGCTATAAAAACCTGCCCTGTTTGCTTTTTTTTGCCTCTTTTCTTGGAAATATCTAGATACAAGGAGGTCAACTTTGGGAGTTTCAAAACTAGTGGTTCAAGAGGAGTTAATTTTGTGAGTTCTAGAATGGCTTGAGATTTTCTTTTAAAGCCAAAGAGACAGTAGTGTCTCACACTGGTTAGGTCTGTCATTCTGAAGACTGTCAGGTTCCCAAGTGACCTTGACAAAGATGGCAGTTAAATACTGAAAATAACACCCTTCCATCTTGTCCTATAAAAATACACTTCCTGGGGCTTGAGGTATAGTTCTGTGATCCAGTGCTTGCCTAGCATGGATGAAGTCCTGGGTTCACAAGTAGTTAGATGATGATGATGATGATGATGATGATGATGATGATGATAAAGATAGATAGATAGATGATAGAGAGATAGATAGATGATAGATAGTAGATAGATAAATAGATAGATGATAGATAGATAGAAAGAAAGAAAGAAAGAAAGATAGATAGATAGATAGATAGATAGATAGATAGATAGATAGATAGATAGATGGGACAATGATCTTCCAGTCATTAAGCTAAATGCAATTAACTGCTATTAAATGCAATATGAAAACTAACACGGACTGTAGACTACAGTGGCACCTACTCCGTTCAGTGCTGTGTGGTGGTGTTCTGTTTCAGTACCTCCCTCCCCTCTGGCCAACCAAGACCCCTTGCTGCTTGCCAGCCATACCCAACTTCCCTGTGGCTTCCTAAAGAAAAGAAACAGAGCTCTGAGACTAAGTCTGCCACTTCTGCATTCCTTCAGGCCACGCCTTCTTTCTACCTCCCCTCTTAGATCAGTATCTATGTAGCTCTAACCTTGTCTGGCCCCATGACAAAGCCCTATAGTTCAACTCTTGAGTCTGGGTTCAACTCTTACCAGTTACATCAGTCTCCAGCAGACCTCTGGGAGAGCTAGGCACCTGACAGCAGCAGAGGCTTCTTCCTCATCTCTATCAGCTCCCAGTTCTGCCTCCAGTCCTCTTGGAAGATCCTTGACTCTGCAGTGGCCTTTTAAACACTTTGTAGCCATTCTGGTGTGTGTGTGTGTGTGTGTGTGTGTGTGTGTCTGTGTGTGTGTGTCTGTGTGTCTGTGTGTGTGTGTGAATGCGCGCGCATGTGTGCATAAGGTGTGGTCTGAGAATTATCATAAGTAGTTAAGACTGGAAAAAAGAAGCCGTGTTTGCCTCAGTTAGCTGTCAGGGAAATTGAGGTTATTTGACAAAGTGAAGCTAATGAAATTGCCTTACCTTCAGCTCTACAGCCTTCTTATAACAACTGTAAAACCTGTCCCATTCTTTCCTATTTCTTTCCCTATAAACACTTTTTAATTTTGTCTTGTTGTCACGTAGGGAATTTTCTAGGGAAGTCTATACAGGAGTATTTTGTATTTTGTAAGGAGTAAGTAAAGTCCTGAGTGAATATGTATTGTTTGATAAGGGCCAGCCATGTCAAGGACCCTAATGCCTTAGACCCATGGGAAATGGCAGGGCCTTTCCAGGGCGAGGCTCCAAGGAATTGCAAAGCCTTGCCTCAATGGTCTCTGGGTAGGTGTTGATGCTGTGTGAAGAAGACATCCACCACAGCTTTCTCTGCCTGCCCGGCTGTTCCTACAGAGGGACTCCCTTTTCAGCTGTGTAGGACAACTTCTTATTTATCTGTGTGTAATAACCCTGCCTCACTGTCTATCTGTATGCAATAACCCCAGCCCTGTGCAACTATAGATCATAAACATACTGAGCTTCTCCATCAGAGAGCCCAGCCCACCCAATACCAGCTTCCCTGTGTCCATGTGTCTGTCCTTTCTTCATTCCCCCATGGACCCAAGTCAGGGTTCTGGGACCCAAGCTGTGCAAGGACAAGGCAGTAATTGGTGGCTTTCATAGAGCATTTCAGACTTCTCTCAATCTCCCTCAAAATACCTAAGTCAGCTGGACTTTAGGGTGACTGGTGTCCATGCAGCACAGATAAAAAAAGAAAAAACTATTTGTTAAGTATATATTAGGAGGAATTGATAGTGAAAATCATTTTTATGTGATCACTATTTAAAATATTTTAGTATGAATGTAATGTAGAAAGCATATTAATAAGTAAGATCTCTTATTTAATCACTTTAGTAAATTGGCATTGGAAAGACTTTTGATTAATAAATTGTAAAATAGTTACAAGGTAGGGTGTAATATTGCAATATGTCTATGCATGAAATCAGGCCAATTAGTATATCTATTATCTTAAATACATATTGATTCTTTGTGGTGATAACACTCCAGATCCTAGATTCTGGTTATTTTGAAACACATGATGTATTTTTTAAACTACAGGTAATAACTGGTTTGTTGCCCTGACAAAATATCAGACCAAATGCAACTCAAGAAAGGAAGGATTTATTTCCACCCACAGTTTGAAGCAGTATAGTGTGGGAGAACAGCTCCCACCTTTTGAATGGTTCTTATGAGAGAGGGATAAGAAAATATTAGATAGAAAGAGAGCCCTAGTCGATGAGAAGAAAGACAGAAACACAGGATAGCTTCAGGAGGGCCTGGATCACTACCCAATAGCCTTTTCCATTTATTCAAAAGGGCTTTTTATAACAATGCCAAGGGGTGGGGCAAAAGACCTCCCCCTTGCTAGACCAAAGCACATGGCACAGCCAAGTGTAGATCATTCCAAATACCTGGTAACCAAGTTCTCACTAGGAAACCTCTGTGGGTTGCTGCAGTATAGTCCATCATTGTGGAGAAGGCATGGCCGTAGGAACAGAGACAGCTGGTCAACCTCTGTGGTGATATTTTGTTGTAATCTAATAAAACTTGCCTGAAGATCAGAGGACAGAGGCAGCCACAGAGTTAGCCACAGGGGTCAGGTAGTGGTAGCACACGCCTTTAATCCTAGCACTCTGGAGGCAGAGATCGTCTGGATATCTGTGAGTTCAAAGCCACCGGGGACTACACGAGATTAATCCAGTTTGAAAGAGAAACAGCCGGGCAGTGGTGGAACACATCTTTAATTCCACCACTTGGTATCACACACCTTTAATCCCAGCACTAAGAAGGCTGAGACAGGAAGTGATATGGCTGGGCAGAGAAAGGAATATAAGGCGTGAGGGGACAGGAATTAGGCTTTTTCCAGCTGAGGACTCAGAGGCATTTCGTCTGAGGATTCGTGGAGACAGTATCTTCTCTTTTCGGCTGAGGAATTGGCAAGGTGAGAAGTGACCGTGGTTTGTTTCCTCTGATCTTTCAGCATTTACCCCAATATCTGGCTCCAAGTTTTTAAATAAAAGACCATTTAGGATTCGTGCAACAAACCTGTGTACTTGCAGTCAGGAGTTAAGAGAAGGTGAGAGATGAATGCTGGTGTTTAGTTGGTCCTCTCTCCTCTTTATTCAGTCCAAGATACAAGTTCATGGGATGCTCTCACCTTTATTCAGAGTGGGTATTCTCTCAGCTAAACTTCTCTAGAAACACTCTCACCTAAAGGTGTATCTCCTAGGTGGTTCTAAATACAGTCAAGTTGATAATGAAGGTTATTTTTTAACCTACTGTGAGATAGACCACAAGATGCTATTTCTCCTAACTATAATCTAGCACCTGTGGATCAGTCTTTTTCATCCCTCCCTACCTCAACTTTCCCAGCTTCTGGAAACCAACATTCCACTCTCAACTTCTATGAAAAGTCATTTATTTAAGTATTTATCTATGTATTTATTTATTTATTTTTGGAGACAGGGTCTTACTATGCAGCTCTGGCTGTTCTGGAACTAACAATGTAGACCAAGCTAGCCTCAGACTCACAGAGATCCACCTGCCTCTGCTCCTGAGTGCTGGGATTGAAGAGTCTACCACTATGTCCACCTTTGCTTGACTTTCCATGCCTGGCTTATCTCACTTAACATTTCCATGCCCAATACCACCCATGCTGTCACCAGCAACAGGATTTTGCCATTTTTGTGGCTGAAGAACATTCCATTGTATTTATATACACTGCACTGTCTCTGTCCACTCAGCGGAAGCTGCATACCTTCTGTTGATTCTGTACTTTGATTTTTCTAACACTCAGTAGACATGGGATGCTGGAGTCGCCTCAGCACACAGATCTTGGTTCCCGAGCATACGGACCCTGTAGTGGGAATGTAGATGGATGTTCTGCTTTTAGCTTTCTGAGGAAACACATACTTTTAACTGTAATGTCCGGACTAATTTACATTCCACACATACTACGAAAGAGC